AGCTGCTGCATTCTGAGGTAAGCTGAGTGATGGTCAAGATAGGCACATCGCAGGCAGACAGGAGTGGGTTGTATAGTTTAGGCACGAGATGACCAGATTCCTCCTGGGTGAGGGAACAGGACTCTGAGCTGTCAATAATGTACATAACCACAGTGACTAATACTTAAAAATAGTCTTCAGCATATTGTTGCTAACTAACATGTGGGCAACAGAGGGTTTTGTGACATGAATGAAATCTGGTTCCAGGCATCGCAGTTTAAAAAAACGCAGCTCACCATTGAGTTGGACTGACTGACCTAGGTGGTCACTATAAACAGGGCCGACCTGAGATGGTCTCCCTCCCTCAAACCAAACCACCTCTCTGTTGGAAACACTTGCACGACAACTAACGCTCGTACTCGGAAGTCCAGTGCAAATAAAAAGCGTTGCTTAGTAAAAGCCATGTACATGGTAACCTGTGGAGAATGTGAACTATCTGCTATGTTGCTTTCTCTTATCCACCTCCTGCTATGTTAATCACAAGCGCAGCGCTGAAACAATATGTAGTGTATTTACAATAATTACTTCTTACCCAGTTTCTTAATTAAAAAGAAAACAGGCTGACATTATGAACTGCAAAGCTAATATGGACCTCTTTATGTTTGTGGTTCTTGCATTAGTCAGATATAGATCTCCTATGGATTCTATAATTCATAATTTAGTTTCGATGGCTTCATATGAACTCTTGCATAATTCCTACTCACTATCAGTTAGCAGGCTGCAGCCTCTAGGACGGTTTGAAGGTGGTAAAATGAAGCATGCTAGCGGCTTCAAAGCCTGTTTGATCCTTCGGTCATGGCGTCACTCGCAAAAAGAGGCTTGCATTTTCACACAGTTCAGAGAAAAATAACCAAATTTATCTGTTATGCGTCAGACTCACCTCTGAATTAAACTTAGAATCACGCACGCAGTATCAGAGGATGAATATATCTATTGTGTTTTTATGGTATAACTCAAACGTGTTTAAATTTACTATAGTGATTTTCATTTTCATTTATCTGTACTAATGGTGATAGTCACAGAGAGTATTAAATGCTCTCTCTTGTCAGAGAGTTCTGCTTTTCTATGCTGGACTTCCAGACCGTGGACAATGAATTTATCAAGATTGGATCTCAGTCTGCATGATGAACAATGTTACACATAAGTGCTTTGTTAGTGAGAATAAACGTGAATTGGGTACTATGACAGAGTGAGAGCACGCGCAGGATAAACAATGGAATTATTCTTACCCTGCAACTTACGCATTCGACAGTACTGGTTGATGTACGAGGATGGAAGAGGTTTAATATCCTCAAAAGCCCCCCCCCACTGCAGGATGCTGATATGTGTCAGCTTTGAGACAAAGCTTCCATATGAATGGAGACCCTCCATCGATCGCCACCCTCTCAATTCAAGCCTGCAGAGCGATTTCTCTTCTAAATTCCATTTCGAGCTGGACCAACCATCCGAGTACCATCGAGTGGTTCCTGATCGCAAAGCAGTCCTGGCGTTGAACAAACTCTCTCACGTGAGAAGATGTACACTATTGATATCACTAGGCAGACAGAGAGCCGCGCATTATCATAGCCGGATTATTGAACTGTCCATTCCTGGGTGGTTTCTGATTTCGTTCCGGAGAGCTGAACTTTTAGTCAAACGAATGATTTGCAAGTTAATCATGTCTTCTCGAGAATTAACCCTGCTCGGCGCAATGTTTCTTCCATTTCACTAGTTATTTTAAGTATATAGAGATCATTCAGCAGAAGCAGCTCTACTCTTTTGTAATCATAATATGATTCATCTTGTTGACGCTGGAATGCAGACAAGATCTTCATGATCACTGTGCACATGGATTCACAACAAATGATATGTTTGTGTCGTCGACGTCACACGGTAATAGTGTGAGAACTTTCAGTAAGGGTGTACTAACCTCCTGAGTGGGCATGTTCGTAGTCTGTTAGGGTACCGATGCAAACTCTCGTATGACATTCAGTCAGGACAGATCAGTTGAGGTGTATATTTTGCTTTCCCTTTCGGTACCTGGAGACTAGCTACTGGGATCCTCCTGCCTGTAGAACTGCACCAGACAGTCTCGATCAGACTGCTCCTCCTGTTAGTGTAGTACATTTAGCATAACCACAGTTACTAAGAAGTTAACTAAGAAAAATGTTCAGCAGAGGATTATTTCATGATTGCCCAGCATAGGAGAGAAGTTTTGCTGTCAGCGAGTGGAGTTGTCAAGTGTAGTGAAGAAATACTGATTCTTCTAGCAGGTATCCCTGCATCACCGCATCAGATTCTCTCCAGGAAAGACAATCGATCATATCATGATGTTCGTAAGTCCGTTCTTCTCGCCTGTAATCAGTTGTATCAGTTCTGGACCACAATGTTGCGACGACTACAGGGACCATGCGCAGTACAGAGTTCAACATGCCCAAAGAACACCTAGACTTGATCACTTGGTACTCAAACATCTTCTGGACTGGTTTCAGTCAACGGAGGAAGAGGCAGAGAAGATCTGATGCAAGGGACATAAAAAAAAGCATCTCTGAAAACAG